GTTTGCGTGTGTGGCTCGCGAGCGGGCTGTGGGGAGGAGGACGAAGGCGAGGAGGAGGAGGAGGAGGAGGAGGAGGCCCCGCCGCCGCCGCGACGCGGACCATCCAGGTATAGTGGGGAGAAGAGGGGAAAGCTGCTGCGAGAGCGGGCAGGGCAAGGCAAGGCAAGGCGGAGCCCTCTATTCTTCCGCGCCTCCTCCTCCTCCTCCTCCTCCTCGCCTTCGTCCTCCTCCCCACAGCCGGCTCGAGAGCCACACAGGCAAGCCGCTCTACGCCAGCCGGTATCTCGTTACTCGATATACGGCAGTCGCGCCTGACCGCGCTGCTGCAAAAGAAGAGCGTCGCAAAGCGTCGCCTCTCTTTTTCTGAGTCTCCCCTCGTCCTCGAGAGCGCACCACGTGGAATCCAACCGGCTCCGAAGCGGCCCCTCCTCCCCTGGCAGTTTCCCCTCCCCAACATGCACCGCGCCATAGCTGCCAGCTAAAGACTTTGGCAGTATCGTTACTGTAAATCAACATGGGCGCATAGAAACGTATAATCTAAGCGCCTTGGGAGCTGTCGTTACAGATTCACCGGATGAGTTTGGTGTATGCTGGGAGTTGGAGTTTACCGGTTGTGTTGGGCGACGTTGACAGTAGGAAAACCAGTTGCATGCTGGGTGTTGTAGTTCACGTATGTGTTGGGAACGCTAGGAATGGGAGGGTGTTTCCTGGTTTCCATGGGAACGTATTTCTAGAAACTGGTTTCTGGGCTCGCGATAAAGGCTGCGTCTTTAAGGTAATCCATATGTAACATTAGTCCAGGAGCTACGTTAATTTTCAGAGCTGACGTGGCGTTAGGGCGTAACTGTGACAAAAAAAAAAACCAACCCCACCCAGTTTTTGGTGGAAGTATTATGCTGGAATGGGGTGGGGCACTAAAATGCTGATAATTTAATGTTAACTTAAAAGACACACCAGTTAAAGACCTGACAAACTTCTCCTCATCTCCTAGACAAGACTGTAGAAACAAGAGGAACCTAGCTACTTTTAGAAGTTAGAAGCAAAGAAGTACAGGCAGTCCTCTGCCAACGACAGTAATTGGGACTGGGACCTCTGTCTCTAAGTGATATGGTCATAAAGCACAAGGTCACATGACCCCACCAACTTACAATGGCAGTTCCAGCTGCAGACGTTAAGTGAATTCCACACGGTCATTAAGCGTGATGTCACATGACATTGACTTGCAACTTCCTGTTGGCTTCCCCCTTGACTTTGCTTGTCGGAAGTTAGCAGTGAAGGTCGCAAATGGCGATCACATGATAGCAGGATGCTGTGACCATTGTAATTGCCACCTAGTTGCCAAGCACCTGAATTGTGATCATGTTACTGTAGATGCTGCAACAGCTGCAACTTTGAGGACTGGTCATCAGTCTCCTTGTTTGAGGACTACCTGTATCTCCTGTGTGACCTTGTGAAAACATGGCCTAAACAGGGAGGTTTTTCTTCTCCCATCACTTTTAATGGACTTTTGAATGGTGAAATCACGGTACTGGCTTGTCTCAAAAACTTGGGTGCTATTGTTATGCCATAAATTGTTTACCAGAGATCGCTACCAGACTGTTTACAGCGATGTGCTAATTCTTTACAGGGTCTTGCCAGAGGCTGTCAATTTTTAAACCAACCTTGAAAGTTATGCCTTAGCTGAAGAACAGCTTTTGGTGCAGACATGAGCAAGCAGTAATGTTAATCACAATTCAGCAAAAACACTGCAGGGTGTTTTCTTTTTCCTCTCTTGCTCTTGTCTGGTCAGTTAGATAAACATTTCATTGCCACTGTTTTTCAAACTGAGGTAATTTAAAAAAAATAAATCATTGTGACTGAGGATTGAAAATCTTAAAACTAAACATGTGAATTGCTGATTCACTGAACTGCAAACTGAATCATCTTTTGATGATTCAGTTAAATAATACCCTAACTTTATATAGGCTATGCATATAAGATAATTGTTGATGAATGGACAAAACTGTCTATTACAAACTTAAATTGCAATGCCAAGCAAAAGATTTCATGGAACAGTTACAAGTTTATTTTTGGTAACAAGCTCATTATGCCAAACTACAACATGGTTCTATTTTATTTTTTAGTATTTTCATTGGGCTTAAACAGCTCTTTTTGGATTAATATCAATGCAATACTACTTCTTTCTGTGAAATTCTTGTAACTTAACCTTTACCAAATTGGTCTTTCCCAGATGCACTTGGACTACAACTCCCAGAATTCCCAGACAGCAAGTTGAAAAAAAGTTCTGTAAAGCATCTATGATTATTGAGATCCGCTTTATTATTTATTTATTGGGTTACTATCCTCCCTTTCATTGAGGAGTTTGAGGCAACATATACTATGTTCTCTTCTACTTTTCTTCAAAACAACCCTATAATGTAGATTGTTTGAAACACAGAGGCAGTGTTATAAAGAGAATGAAGTATATGTATTTTTGGAAGTATATAAATATGTATCTCTAATGTAATTAAACTGATGCAATTTCTACAAAATAAAATATTAGTAGAGACCAAAGTATTTTATTTAGTATTGCATTCATTTTCCCAATGTATTTTAGTCATTACTGTAGTGTTCTTTCAGATGAAACTCACTTGTTATACTCACACTGTATGTTTAACCTAGTCGGTTATTACCTAATCTTTACTGTTTGATCTAGAATAATTATACTAACTTGATAAAAGGCTTTGGGGAATATGGTTCTCACCTGCTTCCTTCTGTTCTGTTTTCACAAAAGCCCTTGTACCAGAAGATACTGTCAAAGCTTTAGTATGTCAGTGGCCTCTTCCCCATGCCATGCAGGTAGCAGCAAGCATGGCTTGAACACTGCAGCTTAATCAAGTCCTTGGGAAACATGCTTTGTCATTGTGAGGTACAACTTTGTTTTAGCCACTTTATGCTTAAGTCTCATTTCCTTAGAGAACTGACTGGGTGGTACAAGACCATTAATCCAGAACTGGTTTATTATGAGTAGTAATAAGGTCACTCTAGTAGTGTGACCTGACTAGAGAAAGGTACTTCTAACAGTTGACTTAGGATGCTTCAGATTAAAATAGTCTCACTGGATCCTGAGTTGGTCAGGATTCTGAGTGTGCACAACACGCTGGCTCTAGAAATGATCCAGTTATATATGGGTGTTGGTGAGAATTATGAATGCAAGAAACAGATAATTTGGCAGGGGAGGAGCATGTGAATCTTCAAAATTAGTTGGGTATTGACTAAGGCTAACTTAGTTTTGAGATCTGAGTGAACTTTACCACTGAGCAATATATCTAACTGTAGATATTATAAGAATATTCCCTGCTTTGGGGTCACTGCTTGCTTTTTGGCCTTGAGGTGTGTGTCTGGGACAATACACATAGGTTGTGATTAGTGCGAGTTTGAATAATGCAATATTCGATTTAGTGTGAATTGTAAATTGATACCAGGCCATGTTTAATGCAACCCAAAATTCAGTTAATGCAAGGCTAGTGCATGCGCAATTGAGGCTAGTACATGTGCAGTTGCAGTTGGGGTTTTAGATGCTGCTAATCTTCGTGTATGCAAAATGGAGAAAAGGAAGATTCCATCAGAGAAAACACTACAAGTTTAAAAAAGAAGAGGCTCATTATTATATTAGAGCAAAAATATTAATTCAATAGCACAACATGAATGTGGTCATAGCAATGCTAAAATAGGAGATGTTGAAATGCCTGAATCTATAGTAGAATTTTGTTGTTTTTATTTTGATTTCTATAACTACTCTGTGACTTTGTTAACCATAAATTTAAATTATAAGTATATTCTTTTTATCCTTTACTGTAATATTTCATTAATACAAAAAAATTATGTTTAAACATTTTATTGGCTATTTCCATCAAGCTAGAACCAATTACAATACTTTTCATAGAAATGTCACTTCAAATAGTGAAAATTCGAATAATGCAACCATTTTGTGGGATTCATTAACCACACAAATTGAGACCTACCTGTGAGACTGCCTTACCAAACACACTAAGTAACAACTAGCTAACCATGCTATTGCATATGTGTTACGTGAACAATTCATTTATTTCTGGTTAGTGTGCCATGCAAATTCAGAAAATTGGATTGAGTTAGTCATGGTTGAGTTAACCATTGTGTGAATACAGCAAGGGTTTATATACAGATCAGGTGCAAAAGAATAACAGTTATCCTCATGAAAATTCTGCAGACAAATTAGATATGATCTCTTGGATACTCCATGGATCCAATCTTGCCATAGATGAATTAGATAATCTTAAATTTGCTACTCCCCCACCTAAGAATTCAATTGCGGTAAAAGATATAAACTCCCTTGAATTGAGCTAATGACTTCACAGCCACAACATATAAGTGGTTTGCCATCGCTTTTTTCTGGCACCTTTTCCCATCTTTCCAGCCTAGTTTCCAGCCTTAGGATTTTCTGGTGGCCTCCTATCCCAGGATTAACCAAGTCTGACCCCACCCAGCTTTCTTGGAATCCACTAAGGCCAGCTAGTTGCTACGTTCAACTGTTGTATCACAAACAAAAAAATGCATTTGCTTTCTCCCTCTCTAATCAGCGCAATACTTAGCAAGGCGCCGGTGGTCAGAGCGGCGCATCCCAAGCCGGTCACAGTGACTCGGGTTCCAGTATACTTTTACGAGGGAGGAGCGACGCTGGCAGGAAAAGGCAGCCGCCGGTCCGAAAAGCCCGTCGCTCTTTCCGCTTTCGCGAGCAACTCTCCGTAAATCCGCTCTTGCTGAGCGCACGAGGGAGAGCTCGCGCGTGCGCATTACCCCCGGAACCATGAGCTGAGGCGTCAGAACCCGACGGTCTCGCATTGCCGCTGTACCTCAACGTCTGGTAGTTGGTCCTGTCAGTTTGTTAGAAGCTGCAGCTCGGAGAAGATTAACGTAGAGTAAGGTGGTATTATAAAAAACCCAGCCTTAGGCGGGCAGAAAAAAAAAAGTATATAGGAATCGCCGTTTAGTCTTTCCTGGTGTAGCTGTGGTCTCCGGGCAACCGCCTGCTATACAAACCTACCTCCGGCCTAAAGTGGTCAACTGGATGCTGCTGGGGAGCTGGGATTAGCCGTATTTCATGCCTCCAATTGGTGGCTGGCTGGTCGTGGTGTCAATCATTCTCTCCCCCACCTCTCTAAGACTCCAGGCGAGGAGGGAAAAGGTCAGCGCCGCCAGCGGAGACCGACAGGTAAAGAAAGAAAGAGGAAACCCTAAATTGGCGTACACTGTAGGTGTCTTGGGAAAGGGTCAGTCTGCAAAAGATTATGCTACTGTGAAGTTGCTCGACTGTTATTTCATTTTCTGTAATAGATTAAAACCTGTTCCTGGGGAATATGACTTTCATAGTGGGTGGAAGAAAAGATTCACATAATCCGGAAGTTGTTAGGCTTCTTGGACAATGTATTCTAAGGGCCCCTTCTTCTTTTCCAGAGTTATCAATGCCTATTTATTTTGTCATTTCCTGAACCAGTCCTTGGCAAAGGGACAAGGCATTTCACTTCAACTTGCTCTTAATTCTGTTTATAGGGATTTGTGTAGGGCAGGAAAATATGTAATAGCAAGAGAGAAGGTCAAGTTTAACGAGTTTTGTAGATTAGTTGTGTATTTTTTGCTGGGATATTGTCCCAACCCTTCTTATTCCCCCATTCATTCAAGTAAGAGACAGGATTGTCAGGGATTTAATATTGTTAAATGAATATCTGTGAAAAGGAGTATTAAGAGGATTTTTAAAAGCTGTACACTCTGGTATGAGTAGATCTCTACTTATACTGCTTTATTTCATGACAGGGTTCTTGTTTTTAAAACTGTAGGACTGACACAGATATACTATATCTGCTATCATTGCATTTTTAAAGAAGTACTAATTATAGTATGTTCTAAAAGGTGGATTCATAGACATTATAGAGGACAGACTGGCTGATGCAGTCTCTTGATCAATATTTTCTTGCCTGCTACCACAAAATATTCAACACATATTTTTATTTTCTCCATATGTAGGATTCATATACAATTCAAATTCAACTCCCTGTTCAAAGAACTCTGGAAAACTGAAGATGCTCAGTGTACCTCAGAGGATTCTCAACATTACACAGTGTTAAAAGTCTTTATCATTTTTTCTCCTTAGGAAAACAGAAAAAAAGGTAATACTTGATTTGAGAACTGCTTTAACTGTTAATTCTTCATTCATGTGAACTTTCATTGGCTTTTAAATACTTGAATGCATTTATTTTGTAAATGGATAAAAGTATTCCAATTCTGTAAATGAATAAAACTTACACACATTTAATAAGTTCTTTGCTTCCTTCATAATTATTGACTTGAACAATCTAATGATATCTGTGTAGTGCAATTTTGGTATTTGGCAATTGGTAATGGCCATAGAACTTGCTAGCTTAGTATAGGATTTTCACAATTCTTTAAATGTACAAATGAATTTATGAAACCAATCTTCTTATGTACTTAACAGGGTTTTGCAGAATGTGTAATTGTTGAAAGAATGCATGATGACCAAACTACATTTGAAATTAAACATGCTTCTTTGCATTCATAATGAATGACATAGACTTGACATACTCTGGTCTGGTCATTAATAGAGGGCCCGCTGAAAGTTCTTTTGTGATGTTTGCAGACTATGAGTGACATGACATATCTTATCTGTAATAGCCCCCAGCTTATGGAATATTCTCCCTGCAAAAATATGTGCAACCCCATCTTTCTGCAGTTCTGTAAACAGGTTAAAGTTGTTTTATTTCAGTGCACTTTCTACCCCAGCTGACTAACTATGGAAGCCTATCATTTAAAATTTTATTTTTGTTTTCTGTGCATACATTTTGCCTTTGATACTGTGCTGATTAGCTATTTATTATTAACTTTTTCTTTTTGTTTGATGTAGTACACTGCCCAAAGTCCTTTGGGATTGGGGTGGGTTATATGTACTAAATCAATAAATAGATTAAGAGGAGTGTAATGGTCTGTAATGCTGTTTAGTATAAAATATACTTTGTATCATTAATATGTGTAGTATAATAGTGGCAATTTGAACTGTGGATTTTTACAAATTGTAACCTAGCGAAATAAGTTTTGATCTCAAGCACTGAACTCTAATATCAAATAAAAACTTGAAGCCCAATCTTACATATGTTTACTGTGTGATAATTTATATTGTGTACATTGGGGCTTACTCCACAGTTCATGCTATGCCACAAAGAAATTAAGCGTACAGTTCATTGCATGCATATATCGGAGTCAAATCAGACAATGTGTGAACATGTGTTATTGTTTCTTCATAAACCGTTTGGAATATTCAGTTAAGTCCATATAACTTGATTTTTTTCCTTCCTTTTTTGAATAGTTTGTTTCATCCAGAATGGCTTGTTCTAGAGCTTGCTCAGGAGAAAATGGAGGACAGGCCACTTCTCAGAGTAACAGTGGTGATAATGAGAGACAATGGCAGCAGGAACGCCTCAACAGAGAGGAGGCTTATTATCAATTTATTAATGCACTCAGTGATGAAGACTACAGGTTAATGAGGGATCGTAACCTTCTTGGGACTCCAGGTGAACTTTGGTTTATAATACTTTAATATAATCCTGAATTATCTGCAGTTTGATATTAATACTTTATCTTTTATGAAGTTAATAAAGTATGAAATAATACTTTAGCTTTTAAGTTCAAGTTGCACAAAGAATATGCTGTATCATGTAATGTGATAGATAAGTGATACCATGTGTTACTCATATGCCTTGGAAATCAATGAGAAATGTATTTAATTTATTCTACTTATTTACATTTTATTTAATTTATTCTACTTCTATTCTACATTGGCATTTTTAATGTATTACAAATTAAATTCTTCTCATTTCATCTTTTTGGTTTAGGATGATGCCTAGGGAAAGTACATACAAAATAGAAAAAGTACAATTAACAGGAAAATCTTACATTTCAGTTTCTTAAATCTCAGATACAAGCATTGCATAGAAAGAAGACCCAGTAATTTGAGATTTCTTGCCTTTAGACAAATGACTTATAATTGCAAAGAAGAGTTATCAAAGTTTTTGGCAGATTTTAATGTATAAATTCCTACTTCTGCTGCATATGGATAGTCCTTTTACCATTCCAGTTTTCCCTTTATTACTTAAAAAAAACCTTTAATCTTATTAGCAACTATTGTTTTGTCTGTTTATGTGCATTCAGGTAATAAAATTAATAGCATAAAACAAATTATTTTAGGGGAAATAACAGCAGATGAGCTTCAGCAACGTTTGCAAGGTGCAAAGGAGAATCAGGCATCCCAGTCTGAGCCAGAAAGTAGAGAATGGGAAGGTGATACTGCTGGATGTAAGCTATCTTTCCTTCTCAACAGTTCTCTTGATTAATATGGTTCTGGGGAAATGCACATTATACACATGCTTCAGAAAAATTAGTATTTATTAGAATCATCAGCCTGCATGCATCATGGACTTCTCTGAGGCTGAGGAAGAGGACTATTTGTAGAGAACTGCAGATGGGGATTAAAGAAAACCAGGGCTGGAATTTTTGAAAAAAAGTGTTAGTTGGAAGATGTTTGATACTTAATTTGTAGAGGAAAAGCTGTGCTATCCCTACAGTTGGCCCATTTCTTTATGTGGATAGTGAAGGTGTGCTTTATGGTCAGAAGGAATAGATATTCTGCATATTCTCAGAAGCATTAAGAAAGCATATTCTTAAAGTGTCTGAAATAAATTGTAATTGAAAACTCTAGGGTTTTTTTTTTTCAGATCATATAAATCTTTTACTGTTCTCTTTGAAAATAAATACCCTATCCATCTTATGAATATCCTTATTGGCTATTATGGGATGGCATACTTTTTTGGATTCTTTCTTTTTATACTTGACAATAGACTAAATGACATTTGGTTAAAAACTTTAGAGAGTACCTGAAGTTAGTAAGTTAAGGCCTATTGATACCTATTGTAAGTTAATACAAACGGCTCTACTAATTTAATTTTCAAAAGAAATCTAATTCAAAACATTGTTGATAGTATATAATGCAAAAAATACAAATATATGCCTATAATCTCTATCCTATTTGGGTAACTGATATAGCTCAAGAGTTATGGTTTAACTTGCAATTATTGGCTTTTGACATGAAAATAGATATTGTATGTAGCTCTCAATTAATGGTGAAGTCGGAAAAGGGTAGTATGTTAGGTTACACTTCATATTACTTCTGCAAGTAGCATGTATGTATATTATCAAGTGGCAATCATATTAACTGCCTTATCTAAGTGAAACCAACCCAAAACTCCTAAAAATGTATTTTATACTTTTTAAATTCTTACAGATTCAGAGACGCTTGGGGAAAACATAACCAGCAACTCTTTGCTAGAGTGGCTAAACACATTCCATCATACAGGAAATTCCATGCATAGTGGACAGAGTGGGAATCAGACTTGGAGGGCTGTCAGCCAGGCAAACCCAAGTAGTGGAGAATTCCGGTTTAGTCTTGAAATAAATATAAATCATGAACATAACAATGATATTACTCCTGGGGAACAACTGAATGAGTTCTTGTATGGCCATTCCAGTAGAATGCATATGGAAAATAGACCTCTAATCGCAAATAGCCCAGTAGCCAGCAGAACTAGGAGCAGGACATTAGGTAATTCAGTTGGCCATGGATTTGCCTCATCAGGAATTGGAAATATTAATGGTTTGCTGACTCAGAATGCTGAAGAAACTTCTCGATTCTTCTCCGGTAGACTTGGAACTAGAAATAGAAGTTCAGCAAGTTCAACACCCAACAGCCTTTTAGATGACAATGAACACAACATCATTAGGCAAAGGAGAACACAGAGAGTGACACCAGTAAGACTTCACAGAGGGAGAGCTAGAACTCGGAGAAATGCAAGGCAAAGGACAGAAATTTTAAGACTAAGATCAACTTTTAGTAGTCAGTTCCAGTCTCTTTTGGAAAGTGGGCAACCAATGAATATACAACAAATACATGCAGGAGCTAATAGGGCACACATAACCCAGTCTTCTCCAGAACAAACTGAGGAACAAGCACCATCGCTGGGTATAACTTTGGAAGAGGAAGAATCTGTAAGAGCCACAGCTGCATCTAGAAGGCACCCTAGTATTACATTAGATCTTCAGGTGAGGAGAATTCGTCCCAGAGAAAATAGAGATCATGACAGTATTGCTACTAGAACTCGTTCAAGAGTGGGCATGGCAGACAACTTGGTCACTCTTGAAAATGATAACGAAGGATTTATTCAGACTGTTTCACGATCTGAACATGCAGGCATACGGACATACGTTAACACCATACGGATACCTCTTCATAGGGTGTCAGATACTGGGCTTGGTGAGTCTTCATCAGTGGCTGTCAGGTCAATTTTAAGGCAAATTATGACTGGATTTGGAGAGCTAAGCTCCTTAATGGATACAGAAACAGGTTCTGAAATTGAGAGGAATAGTCAGCACTTGTCAGATATGCAGCCCCAAATGCCTAACTTGGACACTTCAAATAATACTGATGAATTTAATGCAACTTCACACAGGAATAGATTAACTGAACGAGGTAGCAGGGAAAGGCATGGAGAGACAAATACTACCCAACACCATCATCAAAATAATAGTACCCAAAATAGCAGAGCATCATTTGTTGAAAACGGAACACTTCCCATTCTTCGCCTTGTACCCTACCTTTTATTAGAAGAAGATTCTAGTGACAACTTGAGAGGATTAACCAAAGACCAGATTGATAATCTTTCTACCCGGAATTATGGGAATGCCCACTCAGAAGATGATGAAATAAGTAAGACATGCAGTGTATGCATTAATGAATATGTTGTAGGAAACAAGCTAAGACAATTACCATGTATGCATGAATTCCATTTCCACTGTATTGATCGCTGGCTTTCTGAAAATTCCACTTGCCCAATTTGTCGGCAACCTGTAGTAACTTAATATTGCAGGCAGTAGATAAATCCTCAAATCCAGAGGCCTCTTTTTTACTGACTTTGAATAATAAGAGGGGATGTTTTAGATATGTTTAAAATAGGAGAAAATCGGATTATTTGATAAAGGATCTACCTAACTTCCAAGTACAGGTATAAGAGTAAATATTCAAATTACCTTAATGAAATTATATTTTTCTATATAATTTTGTTATGCAAAGCACTTCTGTAATATAGACGTTCAGGAGCTTATGTTATTAATAACATACTTTTTATTGAGATTTCCATTTGTTTTGTGCAGTTATAAAATAATTTTATTAGCTGTTCTATAAACAGTCCCCCTTTTTATGTTGCCAAAGAAGGAACATTGGGGCGCCTAGCAAAAGGTACTTGTTATTTGAAGTGCTTTTAATATATGGTGTATATTTTTATGGAATATACTGCACATTTGGCTTTATTTAAATGTTTTATAGGCAGTTTTGCATGCTTTGTATACAGTTTCCCATTGACACATTAAGGTTTAAATTTTAAGACCAACTGAAATTTAACTCTATCAACTGATTTGGACATTCTGCATTTTAGCATATTCAGCCATAAGGTTAGAGTGGATGATTGCTAATCCACACTTGCCAGTTCTCTGTTCGTTTCAGAACATTATTTAAAGAAAAGAGAAGCATATATTTAATATGGCTGTGCAGCACTTTGGATACAAAAGGAAAATGACACTTTGGAGTGTACAGGAGTGCTCATGTGGCCCTTGGCAACTTCTTGAAGGAGTGATGTCTTTTCCTTGGGTCATGCACCCATTCTCCACACCTGTAAGCCCTGGGAAAGAGGCTTTGGTTAAAGAGTTGTTAAAAGATGCTGCCTGAATGCCTCTGCATGCTCCAAAGCACCATTTCCCCTTAAATCCGAAGCACTGCACATCCCTGATATTTAATGTATTTGACACACATGAGAACAGATTAATTTTTAACAGAATTTTAATTTGTACATGAATGAGGGCAATGATAAGTACTTCCTTATACCATGCATGATTCCCTTTTTTTTAAGCAATTCTATCAGTTTGCTGTGAACAAAGAGCATGTAATTATCGTTATCTTAAAATGGAGAACTTCCTGAGGATTTTGTTGTTAAAGAAAAGAAAATGTATGTTTACTGTACAATACCAGAAACATCTGTATTCTTGGGTTGAAGGCATATTATACCAATACCTGATAAAGGAATAAAACTACAAAAATGGAAGAGTTGTGAATCATTTATATCAGCTAAAATATGAGTGAGAAAACAGGTGTCATGTCTAATAAGATATGCACTGCTTATTTCTTTCTTGCAACTAGTTCAAGCCATTGAGCTTGGTTTGTAGTAAATAGCTTAAGGACAAATGTCTATCAATTATAGTTTTAGAATGTTTTGTATGTTGTTTCATCATAGAATGGGGTGAACAGTTTAGGGCCCCAGAGTGTTTCCTGAAATAATTTTCCCTCTTGAAGTAGTACATGTGAAAGGAATCTGGTATCCTTATTGATCACGTGAAACATGAGCCAGCAGTGCACTGCAGATGTTAAAATGGTAAATGCTATATTAGGGTGCATATAACAGAAGCCCAGAGTACAAATCATAGGAAAAATTATTCTCTTTTCTGTCCCAGTCACTCCATTTGGACTACTGTGTCCAGTTTGGGTATCGCTGTTCAAAAAGGCTCCCACCCTGATGGCATTCCAGAAGGCCTTAAAGACCTGGCTATTTTCCCAGGCCTTGGGGTAGGGTGGATGGAACCCCTTGTTAGATGTGTTTGTCATATCTTAGTATGTTTTGGTGTTAGTGGTCCAGATTTGCCATTTTGTTTATTTCCCTTGCATTTTTTAAAACCTTTTTGTATTTGTTTTTTATATTGTGTGCTGCCCAGCATTGGCCTGGAGTTGGGCGGCACTCCAATTATCACCTAAAAGGACAGTGACAATTGGAGCAACTTCACAGGATGGTTACCAAGATGGTGAAGGGTCTGGAAACCAAGCCCTATGATGAACAGTTAAAAGATCTGGGTACATTTAGCCTGCAAACAATATGACTGGGGAGAGAGATGCAGCAGTCTTTCAATATCAAAGGGTTGTTACATAGACATTCTCTATAGCTCCAGAAGGTAGGATCAACATCAATGAGTTAAAACCATAAGAAAGCAGGTTCAGAGTAGACATTAGGAGGAACATCCTGACTGCATGAGCTATCAGCCAGTGGAATAGGCTGCAACATGAAATGGTGAGTTCTCCTTCACTGGAAATCTTCAACCAGAGGCTAAATGATCAGAGATGCTCCAATGGATCCTGCACTGAGCAGTGGATTGGATTACATGTCCACTAAGACTCCTTGAACTCTGTGATTCTATTATTCATTGATTTCTAGACTTCACCTCTAGAACCTTGAAGATTCCATTCAATTGATTCTGAGGCTACTGGGGAGATAGAAGAAATCTGTTTCTCTTCTTAGCCTCACTTCCCAACTTTGGTCTTGTTTTAAAATGACAATTTATTTTATTATCTAGCAAAAAAAGGGAGGGGGAGCTTTTAGAATAACCACCCTGCATATGTAATTCCAAGGCATCCCTCACCCAGAGTTAATGTTGATTGAAACTCACCCAGATCTGGCTTCCAGTGAATATAGGGTGGTGGCTTACCTGTTCATTCAGTACAATATTTTTTCCTCCATTCCATGTTTTTGGGCAGAGCTGGGCGACCTGCAAATCTCCAGAAGCTGTTTAAAAATTCCCAACTGTTCTTGGTGATATGGCCAATAGTAGGGGTTAAGAACTGAGTGGACACATTTCTGCTGCTTAAGGAATAAAGAAAATGATTCCTACATAGCTATTTTGTAAATATAAGGTTTGTTTCTGCTGTTTCATTAAGAATAAATAATTTTAAAAACACTGCAGAAATAATTGGCTTCTGTAGCCAGGCATTGGTATTCAATCAATATGATGTATTTGGATATATATATTTTTTAATAATGCTATAAAACCGAAATAAATAGTTTTCTTTATACTCATGACTGACCTATTTACCTCCATGTACATACAACTGAAGTTTCAGTCCACAAATAATTTATTCTGGACATAATCTGCAAATCCAACACATCCACAATTCCATGCCATTGATTGATTGATTATGTGCCATCAAATTGGTATCAATTCTTAGCAACCATATAGACAGACCTTCTCCAGGATGATGTGTCTCCACCCTGGCCCTTGAGGTCTCCCAATGGTGCATTCATCAACTCTGTAATTGAGTCCATCCACCTTGCTGTTGGTCATTCTCTTCTTTTATTCCCTATAGGATCTCTGCACAGAAAGGTGTACTCCTAAAAGGTCACTCCTTGGAATTTTTTTTTCCTCTAATCTATCTCTGAACTTGTTCATAGTTCATTTAGCTGGTTTTTAGTTTGAATGCTCAAGAAGTAATTCTGCTGATTGCTTCTGTGTAAGGTTGTCCAAAGTGAGGAACAGACTTTTTAACACAGTGATTCAAGAACAGTGAAAATTGAAAGATTTAATTGCATTGATATTACTATGACATTAATTGGATTTCTGTCCATTAAGCACACTTAATGCATGCTTTCTGGAAAATGAAATACTATAACTTTGCAGGCAAATATTTATATCCACAATTCTAGACATGGGTGCCACAATGCTTTAAACTTCAAAGTATTTGTCTGTTGTCTCTTGTATGCTTAAAGATTTTAAGCTGGAATGTTTCCTATATCTATTTGGTCAGGTCACTTAAATCGTAACTATTGGCTTTTATAGATTATGCACTGGATACATTTTCTTACTGTAGTACTGCATATTCATGATCCATTGATGAAGCTTACATATCTGTTGAGAAGCAACACTGGACGGTCGCTATCCAGCTGTTGTTGTTTTATTTAAAGTATGATGCCAAAATGCCCTTATACAGGCAAAAAAACTTCTCACAGAAGTTTGTTTTATACCTCAAGGTAGTAAGGATTATTCAGAGCTCAAACTATGGCTGAAAAATATCCTAGCCTCAGTTTCTGAACATCCAAATAGGCTGAGAAAGATTCCTAACAAAAAGATGTTTGACCACAGCTGCTAATCTGCTTAGACAGTACTAGCAGCTGATACCACAGTGATATATCACTGATAAAAGTTAGCTTCTGATGGTATACAAGAAAAGTTAAAGTAAATCCAAAGCTTCATTACACATGCATAATTCTATCATGAGCAGAAGCATAAGAACATTAACATATGAGTGCTTTGTGGATTACAGTTCTTCTGCAAAAGGTTTGTTTTAGCCAATATTTGTATTTACAAGCCCCCTCCTCCACCTATGGCTGTGCTTGCAGAACAAGCTAAACCATGGTATGCTTAACTATGATTAATAAGCTACACTGCCTGGGTGTGCAGATTGAATTAAGCCATCAGGTTGGAGTGGCTACTGTTTTTCAGTCTGTGAACCAAACACATCTTCTAGGTTTCCTGACTGGACATAGGAGGCCTTCTGGCAAAACAAAAAATGGTGAGGCTGAAAAATATTTATATTTAACCCAAAGCTTCAAGTTTTAGAGACTGCGAAATTAAGACTAAAAGTGAGGCATTTACACAGAATCTTATTACAACCAGCCTTATCTTGCTGTTTTTATGCCATGAATTATTTCATAGCAATTCAGCCATTTTGTCCACCTATTTCAGCAGTTTGAGGTCAGTCTATTTTCTGGAAGTTGGAGTAGGGATGAAATGGTGAAAAATTTTATATTTATTTATATATCAAATTTGTCACCGCCCATCTCGTTAAAAAATTACTCTGGGCGGTTTACAAAGCGGTTAAAATAAACTAAAATTACAATACAAAATAATCTTAAAGAAATAGAAAATAAATATAATCCGAGGGTAGATGTTAAAATTGGCAGTAACTCGGGGAGCCTCATCAAGGCCCAAGTCACCCCCAGGACTGGGTGCATTGTACCTCATGAAAGCTCACTTTGATTTGGGATTTTAAACCCACACATAAATATAACCACTTTGCTGCCAGACATTGCATTTTACATTTACATTTACATTAACCACTTTACATTACTACATTAAAAATGTAAGAAGACTGGATGATCTGGTTCAGAATTCTTTTTCCAAGAGTGACCATTTAGATTCCTCTGAGAAGCCGATCAGCAAGATATTCAGAGACATCATATATTTCAGTATAAATATTATATTAGGTATATGGCTAATAGCTCCTGAGAGATCAGTGCTCTGTATTGGGCGGTGTTACTCCATGGCAGATTCAGAAAATATTGCTAATAACTTACAAACCAAGCTGTGAAATATGCTGTTCTTAGTCTGGCAAGGGATGCAGGTTAAAGTAATAATGTGTTAAACTGAATGTTGGCTGACTGGGAAACAAGCATGTTCTATTGTTTCCTACACAAGAATATCCACGGTCCCCAAATCCTCTCCCTTTGGGGGCTTTTTTGATAAGAAGTCAAAAATGTATTTAATCACTCACAAAACCAGTTGTTTGACACTATGCTCCCTCCATTTGCTACAGTAATAAAAAAGGCTTGTGATAAATGGATAAATCAAGACTGACATCCTTTTACATTGCGATATAAGGCAATATAACCAAGCAAGAGACAACTGAGGCAATACAGGGTTATGCATAGCCCTATATTGCCCCAATTCTCTCTCCCAACCTCACACAATCCTGCAGCTTATCTTGCTGATCTCCAAAACCTATGCAGATTTAGAGCTGGTTAGCTTTTGAATGGGAGACCACCAGGAAGTTTCTGAGCTGCATGTTAGACTGGGAAATTGAAAAACCACAACGACAACAAGAACAACAACTCAGAATAAGATAGTAGCAAACCACTTTTACATTGTTAACATTGTTAAGAAAAATACATGGATGTGTCCATAAAGTAACCAAGGACTGAGCTCAGCTCAAAGGAGATTGTCTTTTCCTTTACTAAGAAGTTCGCTCGTGAACCTGGGATCACGATATCAAATATTATTGCTAACAGGAACTTCATAGATGCCTTTCAGCCAACAATTATTTCACAGCCTTGACTTCCCATACATAATAAGGGATCAAGCCAGCATCTCACCCAGGCTTGTAATCAGGATGATTTAAGTAACGTATGTAGTACACACTGTAACTTATCAAAACGAATATTCCCTTTTTGTTTGTTTGCTTGTTTGCCCTTTAGAAGTTTTCAAATTTTGAATTTTACCTTAACATTTTCTTACAGAATGTCTGTGAACAGCACACTTGCAACATCAGAAATCAAATGAAGAGAGGTACTTTGCCCCACCAGAATCCCATGGGAATAGAAAGACTATTTGGCAGGTCACAGTTTGTCTTTCCCTTTTCACTCCTTTCTTATATTTTCAACAATAATGCTCAGTGAGCCCCCTGTTTCCTCAATTAAAAAAAAAAACAGGATAAACAAATATTTCCTGTTCTTTATCTATACTGACCTCTAGCGTCTTCCAACAAACAACAGTGCATTAAATCTGAATACAATGCAGAAGAACTCAGAAATCCGTATGTGTGTGCGCGTGTTTATCTGTGTGATCACATTCTCTCAAGCAAAAAGGAAACAAACAAGAGTGGAATTCCTTCTAGGGAAAGGAATTGGGAAAAGGTGCAGAAGGCAGATTTTGCTGCTGTTAAGAGTCACGAATTCCTCTGAAACACCACGGGAGGTGTGCCAGCATTAGCAGATAGGCTCCCATTTTTTCTGCCAATAATCTGGAATTAGCCCTTTTTTTGCTTGGCATTATATTATGT